TAGAATGTGCTGAGCAAGCTTTTGGGTTCCATCCCTTGCACCAAAACAAAAACTTTAGGGGACAGAGTTTAAAACAGACTTTCTTCAGCAGCCCTGGTGACCACGTCCCCATCGTGCTTATTTCCCCTGCCAGGACTCTGCTTTCCTCACCACACCATGCGCACCAGGAAGGCGGGGACAGACTGTCATATTTAACCACTATATTCATAGTCTACTGCAAACTGTGGTCATGGAGGCAACATTCAGCAATGCGTTACACAAACTGTAGAAAGAAAAGAGCTTCAAGGATGACTTTCTGCGTTCCTTCTTTATATACAGTCACTTTTCCAAGACTGAGTTCAGCTCAACACTGTGGTGGCACCAACAGAGCAAGGTATGGTCCATTCTAGGTTAAAATCGCAGTAAACCAGAAAAAATTAGCAGATGGGAAGGAACGCGGAGGTGCACAGTCAAAGCCTGGCTTAGTCAAAAATTTGCAGCTACAACCAAGGGAAAGCCGCCTGCAGCACCCTGGGTCTAGCCAGTGGGAAAGTCTCTCAAAATCAAGGGCTGAAAAAAAAAAAAAAAAAAAAAAAATCAAGGGCTGAAGCTCAGCCTGGCTTGCGGTGGAAGCAGGAAGACCAGCAGCAGGAGGAAAACATCCAGGCACCGCTGGTAGGCTTTCTCCTCCAGGGGAGGGCAGCTGTGCTATCCCCGGTTCTTCACTGTTTATCCACTCACACAGCTGGAGCCTCCCAACTCTTGGGTTTATAGAGTCCCACTTCAAGGCGAACAGCTTAGGTGGAAACTAGCACTTTGAGGTTCAAATGCTAAATTCCTGTGAAAACCATATTGGCAAGCAGCCTTAAGCAGGTGAATCTGGTTTTTCCAGGCTTGCTTTCTCCAGGGCAAGGCTGAGATGCTGGTGAAGACGAAGACCTAAAGCGCCAATGTTTGCCCTGAACTGCCAGCTTTCTGTGGCTTGCTGCTCCCCTAGTTACTCAGCCTCTGCGCACTCTGCCTTTCAGGCTGAATCCAGTTGTAAGGTCCGCCTGCACTGATTCTTTCTTGCACATGCCTCCAGCTCTCTTTGCAATTACCAAACATCTACTCTTCTGCTAAGAACATGACAAATACTTTATTTAAAAGGTATTTAAGCCACACATGTTAGCATATACCCATAATCTCAGAACAGCACTCTGGTAGGCCAAGGTAGGAAGATCACAAACTCAAGACCAGCACTGGCAACTCAGCAAGTTAGTGAGCCCCTGCCTCAAAACAAAAAGAGCTGAAGATGCAAGGTCCTGAGTTCAATCCCCAGTATGTTAAACAGGGGAAAGGTATTTTAGTGGGCAAAATAATTAAGCCATATGTTAAACACTCAGAATATTTTCATCTATATTTGGAATATTACTAATTATGTACTAGTGTAAACATGCTATATGGTTATATCTGCCTTGTGCATCCATTTTATAGCCTCTGGATTTATACGCTTTCCTCTTTTTACTTGTTTTATAATACATGTAACTATTATGTAAGAATAATGGTGTAACCTCTTAACAAACTTTTTTCAGCAAAACACTGCAAAACAATCCCTGGAAACTCAAATCTATTTCGGGTTCTCTAACGGATCAAAGGGTAGCTTGCTTCCTTCTGCAGTAAGGTTAGGCCTCTCTTGGCTTAAACAAAGCTTAGGTTCTTGCTCAGAGGTTAGTTACTATCGTAATATCAACACTCAAAGATTCCCAGAACCATAAAAATTATTTTTTGAGCATCTGTGAAGAACTCAGTCTTATTTTCCCTTTCACCTGTGCACCATCAGCAGAAGCATCCAACAGTGAAAGCTTACAGACGTCATTTTGACCATATATGTACCCTGCTCCCCTGCAGACCTCTGGCACCCAGGTCAGCAGCATGCAGACAGTAGGTGTGCACACAAGTGGTCGCTTTACGGACATGTAAGCTTACACCTGCTCCCAAATCCATACTACGTATACATGAGACTTTACTTCCGTTTATGCAAATACATATAT